CTTCCAATTGTTTATTTGACCATGCAAGTAGTTCTTCAATATGACAACTGGTACGCTTTCTGGCTCATGTATTGCACCAAATAGTAGGTTTCTGTCCCCTTGAAAGATGTGCTTTTCAGTTTTGCCTTTAATGACAGCAGCTAACCAAACCACTGTTGCCTTCTGCTAATTCTGCCAAATTCCCTTGATGCTACTATTTCAGCTTCACTATTTTAGAAGCGATAACTAGCTGGAACCAATTTAAAATCCTCCAAACAAAAAACATAGAATTGTAACTCCATACTTTCTTACCACTAAGAAGACCCAGAATGAACTAAGAAGTTCATTCCATTTTTTAGTAGATGTATACAAGTTTTTTCCACTAAATATGTATCTACCAGAGTGGATTTGACAGTGCAATCCTATATAAGTGTATTCAAAAGGCTGGGACACGCTACATGTGTATAGGATTGCAGCCAGAGATGTGAAGAACAGTATCCAATAACACAGGGTATAGGCTTCTAAACTTTACAGTCTGAGCAGGGAGCATTTGCCAAAGGGAGGCAGATTAAAAAAAACAAAACAAGAACAACACCTTAGTACAAAATTTGGCCCTAGATTCTATTACACAACATTTTTAATAACTTCTCAAAATTCTAATTATTTTTCATACAGGCTATATATCAGAAAAGCAATATGAGGCAATTTTTGCAACAAAAATAAAACATTTATGGCCGCTTAAAGGGTCAAGAAATTGTTTGGTGTAAGTTTCTGTGTACTACACCCTTGTACAGTATTATCTACAAAAATGGTAGATAGGAAATCCAACCCATTATTTTCTCTGGTATCCCTCTCCCTGGGACCCTTATGCAATATACTACATTAATGCAAACAATAACCCTCAAGCAGTTACTACAATAAGCAACAGGATTTTGGACTGTGTCTCTGTGTTTGTTTTTTTAAGAGGAAACATTAAGACCTACCAAGAACAGCACTCTTTATGCACAGATTCTCCCTGCCACCATACTTTATACACCAGAATATTATATGAGATGCTCCTCAACTGAAACTAATGACATTTGTTATTTTGAAAATACTTGCTCTGAATTACTATTACTTTAACAATAGCAGTTCCAGATCTCAATCCCCCTCTACTAGACAGTTTATAACTCTCACCAGAGAAAAGGGTTTACCCAAAACATAAAAATATATCATTACAAATGGAAACACCCCCAGAGCAATTATACAAGTATTACAGCAGACAATCTTCAGCTTGTGAGTAAACAAAAATGGAACCTGCTTATTCAGTAGATATATTTGTGCTTATTCAGTATACATGGCATTTGTGCTTATTCAGGGAAATATCTGCACACTTTACACAGAATGACTAACTATCAGCACTGTTTGTTCTGCACAGCCAAGATAGATGAGGCTGGGGAATAAAGTTTACTTGTTATCTTTCATGCTTACCCACACAACATCGTTGCACATGGGATCACATAGGTTTACACAAGAAGAATAATCTGAAAGACTAACATGTACCACATGATAAGAAGGAACAAGGATTATCTTAACTCTTAAAATAGGCTTATAGTGCAAACAGGAGTAAAAGCGCGCACACAAACACACACACACAAACACACAAAAGCATGTAGGGACACACTCATCTCACCTTTATATCTAAGCTTATAAAGATGAAAGCAATCTACTAGCATACTTACAGTGGTACCTCGCTAGACGATGATAATCCGTTCCACTGAAATCGGTGTTTAGCGAAATAATTGTCTAGCGAAAAGCATTTCCCCATTGGAAAGCATTGAAACTTGTTTAATGCATTCAATGGGGAAGAATCGTCGTTGTCTAGTGAAGATCGGCCATAGGAAAGCCGCTTTGCGAACCGCCAATCAGCTGTTTAAATCGCTGTCTTGCGAAGCTTAGGTCCTGAAAATATCTGTTTGCGAGTGCGGAGGGAGCTGTCAAAATCGTCGTCTAGCGAAAATCAGTTTGCAAAGCAGGGACCAAACATTGTCCAGCGAAATTCCCCCACAGGAATCACTGTTTTGCGAATCGCTATAGCTATCGCAAAAAGCCAATGTCTAGCGAAAAAACTGTCATGCGGGTTAACTGTCCAGCGAGGCACCACTGTATTGGTTTCTTTTTAAATACAAGCAAGCTGAGAGTGAGGAACAGAACTCTGAAATGTGGTGTACTCTACTGAAGTTTTTTCAGTCAATGTGGTCCTTTGTTCAAGAAAATTTAAATCATGCCTATGAACCCAATGGCAAATGGCTTATAGACTAGTCTTCCCCAACCCCAATTCCTCCAGCTATTCCCAAACACAACTCCCGTCAGCATAGATATTATTAGTATGGGCTCAAACAACTGGAATGAAGTGATCTAGATGCTAACTACCTTGTTAACTTTGTTCAGAGCTGAGCCCAATTATCTCTGGTTTCAGAATCTGTTATTTCAATTCAATCGAACAACAAACTGGTAGAGATCAACATCTAAGAAGTAAACACTTTACCATTTTTTTTACAAAGCATATCCAAAGGTTTCCATTTCTTCTGTTTATTCTTTTCTGTTCATTCTTCCTTGTTCTAAACAAGTATGATTCCATGATATATGCACATGCTAACATAATTATACAGCATTAAGGGGACACAAGGATACCCAGTACTGTATTGTGTAGCAGTGGGTACAATGACAAACAAGAAAGTCTGGGTTTGAAGGCCCACTCAGTCACGGAAACTCACTGAGGGTGTGGGACTGGGTAAAGCCACTCTTTAAATAGCTCACTTACTGTTCCGACTTGATGGTAGATAACAAGAGGACACAGGTTTGACAAGGTCAGAGAAGAATGCTGCACATCAAAACAACTACAACAATGTTCAGTTTAAAAAAATAAGCCAGCATGGAGAAGTAATAATAAATGCCAGATCCGAGGTAGAAAGACCCAGGTTCAAATCTCCACTTAGCCAGGAAGCTCAGAGAGTGATGTTGGGATAACAACAACAACATGCCACCAAGTCAATTCTGAACTAGTACAACCTTTTCCGGGCTTTTCTGGGTAGAGACTACTCACAAGTGTTTTGTCATTCATTCATTTAAAATATTCCCCCTCTTTCTCTTTGAAAAAAACCCAAGATCACTCACATCATTAAAGAGGCAATATTTAAAAGCCTCTTCTGGGGGCACTGTGGAACTATGCAACTTGCCCAAGGTTACACAGACTATTCTTCTCCTGGGGGCACAGAAGTCCTAGCCTAAGCCACCTCCCAGCCATACTGCAAGGGGGAGGGTGGTTTGGACCAAACCATGTCTGCTCTGTATACAGTACACATATCTCAATAATCGGTTCCACCCTATTCTTCATAACCAGAAGTGTTAGCAGTAAATAAAGTGCTGGCTACTGGTCTCAAAATGCGGCTAAAACTGCACTACTCTTGCACTTTTCAGACAGGGGAGCTTGCAAATTTACTTCAACTAATCTCTCCTGACGTTCCCCAGCACAGGTTATAAATTAATACACCCTGCTTGCACTCCATCCCTAAAGGAACTGAAAGAGCAGAAATAACGCCCTGTGCTACCCAGCCAACGATTTCTTATTGTCTACAAAGGAGTGGATGGATTGCAAAACCAAACATTCCCAGAGTCTTTGCTCTGCAGTTTCAATTGCAAGCATGGCTTTTAGAGTAAGATGACACGGCACATTTTTCGAAGCCAGTCCACCTCCACAAGGACGCTTCCTGGCCTCTCACTTCCTGCTAGATTTTTGTTAAAATTACGAATTAACTGTTTCAACAGCCACACCATCTATATCGCCCGCTCCAGTCCCGTTTGCTCCCTCGGCCCACACTCTCTCTATACCGAGACATCATTTCCCCTTGCAAATATCAGAAACTAGTGCAAAATATCAACGGAATAGACCTCCTCGGCCGCCGCTCCACCGTTAAGGGGAAAGATGGAAGGGAAAGCACCGAAGGGACAGATTAAGGTCACGAATACGACTGCAAGGCATGCGCGACCTCCCCTTCCTCCCCAATGCCATACTTTTCGCAAAAGAGCGGTTGAGAAGTCTATCTGGCAGGCATGGGCTAGCGCCTTTATCATTTCTAGGTATGCCCCCAAAATAATATATTCCCGTGGGGAGGAAGTCAGGGAGAGGGCGGCCCTTTCTGGGGGATTTTCTGATGCCGAGCGTAGATCCTATGAGGGCACCCGAGGCTTCTCGGTGAAATGAATGGAGAGGCATTGCACGGATGATGGGGGGGGGGGAGTCGGCAATAAAGCACATGAGGCCGGCGTGGGAAGGGGGGGTGCGAAGAAATCTGTATGGCTGGAGGGACGAAGAGGCTGAGCTTTAGAGAATCTGCATATCTGAAGGGGAGGAGCTGCAAGCGAGAAGGTAGAAAATAATTCTTAAAAAGGGGGAAGGGCGAAGGGAGGAAAATTAAAAATATGGGGGAGGCCTAAGGGAGAGCAGAAGGTGCAGGAGTTGGCGGCAAAAAAAAAAAAATTGAGAGAGAGAAGAAGCCAGAGGCAAGCGAATGGAGTTAAGGAGAATCTGCTGCATGCTTGGCCCGGGCACGAAGGGTGTCGGGGAAACAGGGCATGAGGGGAGCACGCCAGGTTTCGGCTTAGGCGGCAAAGGTTAAGGCAGCCGGCCCGGCGGAGCTTCCTGCAACTGGAGGACACAAGGCGAGGGAGGCGGAAAGAAGGGCAGCAGAGCCCGGCTCCACCGCGGCGAAGGCCTGCAGGGAGCCATGGCCGTGCAAAGCGGGG